CCCCTGCCACATCCTCCCTGATTCAGGTGGGAGGGGTGAGACGGGACACCCCCCCCTCAGATCCCCGCTCTGATCCCTGACCCCTGCCATGAACCCCCCAATTCAGGTGGTGAGATGTGAGATGGGACCTCCCTCAAATCCCCGCTCCCATCCTTGCCCCCCCACATTCAGGTACACCCCACTCCATGCCATGCTGGGACCCCAGGGAGGGCAAACCTGGCACCCAGCAGCACCCCCCAGCACCCACTGCCCCCCCCCTCACCTCCACATGTGGGAGCTGAGGTGCCGCTCCAGCATGGAGCCCAGCGCCGAGCAGAAGCGGTCGAGCCGCCGGTTGAAGACGTAACAGCCCGGGCTGACCAGGCGGCTCCCAAAGGTGCAGAACTGGGGCGGGGGGATACACCCACACACGACACAGTCAGCATGGCCCCCCCAAGCCCCCCACCCAGAGCATCCCACCCGGCACGGGGCTGGCAGCGGGATACAGGTGGATGGGCTGATGGCAGGGCTGGGGGGTCCCCAACCCACCCCGGGGTCCCCTCACTCACCGCCTGGGGTCGTGGGGGGCGCGTGGGGGGGCGGGGGGGCTCCTCGCCCCCCTCTTCCTCGCTCTCCTCGCTCGACACCCGGCTGCCCGCCTTGGGCAGGGGGAAAGGGAACACCCCCGTGCCCCCTTCCCCGGAGGCAGCCGGCGTGTCCTCGGGGTCGCTGTCGGAGGAAAGCCGGGCCCTGCACCACAGAGGGGGGGGCGGGGGCGGTGAGAGATTTTTGGGGTGCCCGATATGGGGGGTGTCATCATCCCCCCGCCACCCAGATGCCAGGGTCCTTACCTGGGGAGCGGGCAGTGGGAGTGGGGTGGCTTGGCTCGGCAGGGAGAGGTGCTGGGGGGGCCGGCGGGGAGCTGTGGCAGCGAGGAGGGGTCCTGCTGGGAGGGGGGCAGCGGTTCCTTCCCGGGGGGGCTCCTCTCCTTCGGGGACTCGCCCTTGCGGGAGCTGGCCTTCAGCTCGGCCACCAGCACGTCAAAGTCCTTGGCCCGACCCTGCACCTCGCGGCGTTGGTGAACTGAGTGGATCTGTGCCGGGCGACAGTGGGGAGGGGGTCAGGGGGGGTAAGAAAATACCCGCAGGGACCCCCCCTAAAAACCCCTGGGCAGGATGATGGTGTCCCCCCACCACCACCCCGGCATCCCGCTACCTTGCAGGTCAGCAAGCGGGTGCAGATCTTCTTGGTGTCGGGGTTGAGAACGCCGCACTGCCTGTTCAGGTCGCACTCCTTGCCTGTGGGCAGAGGAAGGAAGCGGGATGCCGGGGGGGGCCTGGGGCCCGAGCTGTATTGGGGGGGGAACAAGTACTTTGCCCCCCCCGCCCCAACGTCCGACCCCGGTTGAGGTTTCCACCGGTGTAGATGGCAGGATGAGAGTGGCGGCAGCGGCAGGGGGGCACAGCCTCACCAGGACCGCTGCTGGCTGGTCACGGTGGGGGGGCTCTGCGGGGGTCACCCCAACCTACCCCAGCCAGGGCTGGAGATGGAGACCCCCCCTCCTCGGAGCAAGAGGCCACAGCATCCCCGCTCTGAGCAGGGAGGCGGGGGTGAACAAAAGTCCTGAAAGTCACCCTCTGTGGGGCGGGGGGGCCACCATCTCCTGGCCCCCCCTCCTTTTTGCCCCCTCCCCAGGGCGAGCCCCCCCTTTCACCCCCAGCCTGGGTTCTGCTAATGGCATAGCTCACTGTCGCCCAAGAGCGCCCACGAGCACCGTGGCATCTGTCCGACTCCCATATCTGGGGGGGGATTCAAGGGGGGGGGGTTGAACCCTGGCTCACGCTCTTGCCGCACGCCGCCGCCGCCGTTCCTCCGGGCCAGCTGGCACCGCGGGCAGAGACCCTAAACCTGCCGGGTGAACGGAGCTGGGGTCAGGGCACGGCTCCTCCAGATTCAGGAGGAGAGGTGGGAGATGCCCCCTCGGTACCTACCCCGCTGCCAGACCCGGCCACCGAAAGAACGGGACCGGGATGCCGCGCCGGGATCCGGTGCCGTGCGGCACCGACCTGCCGCCCCCACCCCGTCGCCGGCAAAGAAAGGGGGACTCACGCGCCAGCTTCTTGTGGGACCTGGGGGGCGGCTTGGAGGCGCCCGCATCCTTCTCCCCCGGGGCGGGCGCGCTCTCCGGTTTGCACCCGGGGCCGTCGGCAGGCATCACCGAATCCCCCCCGACCCCGGCCGACACCGGGGGCTCTTTCGGCACCGCGGCGGTGGCGGGTTTCCCCAGGGGTTCCTTGGAGTTGGTGGGTACGGCTTTGGGGGGCACCTTGATCCCGTGCCCATCCGGTTTGGGGATGCTGGGGATCTTCTCCAGATTGACCACGGGCACGAACAAGCTGGGGAGAGAATTTGGTGGGGGGGTGTCAGAGCGGCCCTGTGGCAGAGAAGGAGCCAAGCCACCTGTCCTGGCACTCACCAGAGGTTGTTGTCCTTGTCCGGCCGCTCGGGCAGGGGCTGGACTCGCCCACGAGCACCTGGGGGCTTCTCCCGCAGCACCTTGGCCGCACCGGGGGTCCCGCCGGCTGCCAGCTGCCCGTTGACGGCGACGTGGCACTTGGCGGCGGCGGCGCGGGCATACAGCTTGCTGAGGGGGCCGTGGCGGCGTTCTGCCGGGACAGGGTGGGATGGGGTGGTGGGGGGAAAGCCTGGTGTTAGCCCACGCTGAGGGTCCCACCGCCGTGAGCCCCCCAACCCTGGGCTGTGCCAGCACAGCTGCCTTCCCCTGTCCCTCCCGATGCCGGAGGGGATGTTGTGGTGGGAGGATAGCCATGCCCGGAGCCCCCCCACCGCCCCGGCTCACCGCAGTGCTTCTGGAAGGCCTGGGGCTTCACCACCTGGCTGCAGTGGTTGCAAACCACCAGGTAAAATTCGTCATGCGCCGGGCAGTGGCCAAAGATGTTCATGTCTGCAGGGCGAGAGTTCGGTGAGCAGTGCAGCATGGCTCTCACCGGGTCTCGGTGCCGTGGGAAGCATCACGGCCTGAGGGTCCCAGCTGGAAGGCAAGCACAGCCCCAAAACACCAGGTTTTCTCCCAAAGGAGGGAGCTTACCTTCCTTAATCAGGGTCATGGCGTCCAGTTTCTTGCCGCTGCTCTTCCCACTCTCCTCCAGGTCCGACCCTGATCCTGCCAGAGACAAAACCTCATCAGCAGTGGCCGGCACGAGGACAGTCCCGGCTTCCCCTGGCTACATCCAGCATCAGGTGCAGGTGCCAAGTCCTCGCCGCCGGCAGCACCGCCGCTCCCGGCCATCAAACGCTGCCAGCACTCCCCGAACAATTAAACCGGCTAAAATTAGACGAGAGGGACGGATCCATCCTGGGATCAGGGTTGGCCCCATGGCGTGCCATCACCTCTGAGGTCCCCATCCCGCCACCCCATGCCAGACCCTGCCAATAGCCCACCACCAGCGGGGTGCAGGCACTCCTGGGGACATCCCACAGCTAGGATGTGACCGGTGTCAGCCCCCACTACCCAGGGGACACCCCGGGGACACCCCTGGGGACACCCCGGTCCCCATCCAACCATGGCCCTGCAGCCGGCATCCTCACTGGCCATGCCTGGCAGGTGTCCCAGCCCCAGCTGGCTGCATCAGGCTCTGCTGCGGGAGGAACAGTGTCCACCAGGCCAGCGGTGACGGTGTCCTGGCCAGCCGTGTGATACTGGGTGCCCAGTGCCATCCAGCAGTGCTATATTGGGCACCCAGTGCTGTCCAGCTGTGCCATACTGGGTGTCCAGTCCATCCCCAGTCCTATCAGGCCATGCCATACCAGGTGCCCAGTCCTGTCCAGCCATGCCATACTGGGTGCCCAGTCCCATCCAGCCATACCATACTGGATATGCAGTCCTGTCTGGCTGTGCCATACTGGGCACCCAGTCCCATCTGGCCATGCCATACTGGGTGCCCAGCTATGCACAGCCATGTCAGGAGTGCCCATGCCCCATCCAATCGTGCCGAGAGCCCACGCCGTGTCCGCCAGCTGGCTGGTCCCATCTCAGCCATGACATGGGGCACCAGTAGGGCAGTGCCCACGCTGGCGTACCTGGTCCGGGCGTGCAGAGTCCACTGGGGCAGTGTCCAGCTCCCCAGTACAGGGCACCTGGTTCCCAGTGCGTAGGGTATCCCAGTGCCCAGCATGTGATGCCCAGTTCCCTGCCTGGGGCACCTGGTACTCACCGCCTGGTTCCCAGTGGCTGGTCTGGGGCAGCCGGTGCCCTCTGCCCAGTCCGGGCTAACGGCAGCAACTGGTTCCCAGCCTGGGCTACCCAGTGCCCACCGCACCCGGGGGTATCTGGCACCCGGTAACTGGCTCCCAGTAACGGGCACAGGGCTCCCAGTGACCAGACTGGGATGCCCGGTGCAGAGTGCCCGGTTGTCGGTGCCCGGTGCGGAGCTCCCGCTTCCCGCTGCCGGGTTCCCGGTGCAGGATGCCCAATTCCCGGTACCGGGTGCCCGTTGCGGGGCGCCCGCTCTCCGCCTACCGCGCGGCGGCGCTAGGACCGGGGTGGCGGGGG